ATGCCGCAATCGAGGCTACTATCTTCATACATCCGCTCTCCGGACTTGCGACTCTAACAATGCATTCTCGTCGCAATAACAGTGGCTGCACAAATTTTTGTTCATCAAAACTCCATGAACAGGACGAGGCAGCCTAACTCCTAGATGGCTTTGCGGTCACAGCCACACGCGGAACATCTGGACGGTTCACTGGACCAGTCGGCAACTCGAAACTGAAGTAACTTCGTATAGACTCTTCCCTCTCAAATTTTACCTCCTCTTTCTCCGTTTCGGCTTTCACTTCGGAGCCTCTCGTCCCGGTGCTACCACTCACGGTACGTTCGCACCCGGTAATGCGGAGTAAACGGGCAAACCAAGAACAAGTGCGCTCGATGCGATGTAGCAACGGTCGTAGAAGGGGAAGATTGGCACCCACCACGGCCAATGAGCTTTCCACCATGCTCCACGCAAAGATCGGTGTAGTGAAATCTAACCTGTCATTAGCTATGGTGTTCAGGCCTTGAGAGCTCATCGGACATACAAGTTATGTCATCATAATGCGTCGCTATTTCTTGGCCTATCCTTACGAATTGCACAAGTTGCATGACACCAGCCCCACACACACTGTTCTTGGTCAACGTTTGCTCTATATGGGGTTCGATGGGAATACTTACACCGCTCCAAGCAACAGGATGCAAACTGCCGCAAGTCGAATCTTCCAGTGCATCTGCAGCTGGTATATCACCGGTATGGGTGTGGCGAGAATAACAAAGTCTAACATGAAACCGCTGGTTGAAACAGAGAAGTAGAAGGGTACCTGCTCCACACACTCGACCAGGCGGATTGGTGCGTACTCAAACGTCGTCCAAATAATCTGCGGATGTCGGCATTGGAACAGCATCGCAAACAAGAAAGATACCATCCACACCGCCACGACGACGATCAAAACATTGTTAACGAATAGAAACCGCGGATAAACCCAGAATACGCGACGGTAGAAGCATAGTATAGAGCACTTGGTAAATCCCAGGGAAGCTACTGCAAGCAGTTGCAGGGTATAGTTGACCTGTAGCTGTGAGTAGTTGTGGAGTTGGCTGGAAGAGGTCTTTACCTTCTCGAATACCGCTAGTTGCTTGGTGAATATCGGGCCATCAGGACCGTTTATGTTTGTCTGATGCTGGGCCATTTCTCCAAGTTCGGCGCCTAGAGCTGAGTGAGACAACGGCGATTTCATCATTCGGTAGTCACTGACCAACAACCATCGCAGCAGCCATACCGACTACACATATCTGTGTGGCCGTGAGTCAGCGTTTGGTTGAAGGATTCTTCGCGTCGCTTACCAAAGCTGGGACTATCAGCACATCGTCAATACCAGGTTTATTGCCGGTCTTCGTATGCGCCCAAAACCTCAACAACACCGAGGCAATAGCGAACAGCGCTAACGTCAACGCTAATGCGATGAACTTGGCAGCGCTCCACGCCATGCAGCTCCTTCTGTACTGTATGCAGTAGATAGTGCACGTTCGCTTAGGCAAGAATGAGGCACAGCACTCCAGCTTCTGATCCACCGGCGTGTCGCGATCTGTACGTGGTTGCTGCGATAAGAAAAATGTTCCGTTCGGGTTGATATGTTGTGCAACAAGCGTGAAGCATGGAGAAAGACAGCCGTAGGAGGTACCTATGAACTTTCCCTCGTAGGGTCGCGCCGCAGCTGACTGTGCCGCAACCGTAAGCAAGCCGGCATGCCACGCACGGCTACAAGCAAGGGCTTGCTAATTCATTACCACTCCAGCGGAAAGCATTATCCCACCTTTCGTCCGGTGCCGCTTTACCCAATGTTCAAGCTTGTGATTGTTCGTACAGCGGGCGAAATGTTAAAGCATTGTCAGTTAGAGAAACATAGCAGCGTCGTTCACAATCCTACATTTGGTTTCAAGCACAATGTCGTATCGCAACAAAGAAACAGATGAGGCTGATTCCACATACGTTCTCTCCGATGACGAGACTATGCCTTTCCGAGGGATGAGGACGCACAGCCATAGGCCTCGGTCTCTCCAGTCATTCGTTGTCGTCGCGGCTATCGCAATTGGATACATTGTCCTAGGAGCCCTCTACATCAGTCTCCGAGTTCAACATTCGCGCCTGGAGTCGGAGGCTCGCAACTGGAGACCGGAGCTCTTTCCTTGTATGTCGTGTCAATCTCTGCTGCTTGTCTGTACTGATTTTATTGTCAGCTCTTGCCGCATCAAGTGCGTATCGCAAAGACACTCGTGTGTTCCCATTGACCGTAGCGGGAACACCGTTTGCAGGCTTTCCGAGCGCAGAACTCGATCATGCGTGGCATGAACTCCTGGAAGGTTTGCATGACCGCAAAAGCCGAGACTGATTTGTAGCTAAATTACACGACTTGATAGGTACTATCATCAAAGTCTCCGAAGAAGACTTGGGTTACTACAATGTCACGTCTTTACCCCTAGCTGACGGCTCCGGCTTCGCATCTGAGATCTTCATGACACATGAGCTGCATTGCCTTGTAAGTACTTCTATCAATTTGCAGTCTCACAATGGAGATTGACATCAAGACAGAAAAAGATCAGGCAGTGGATATATAAAGAGACTTATTTTGAGGACGTGCAAGGACTGTCTCGCAATGAATTGGAGCGGCACGTCAGTAAGTCAAGGCACTTATTGAAACAGCCACGTGTTCCGAACTGACATTTCTCGAAGACCATTGTATAGAGACTCTGCGCCAGGGCATCATGTGTAGAGGTGATGTGTCGCTCGGAACGTACACATATCTCTCTGGAGGGGGAAATGATGTGACAGCGCGAAGCTGGGCAACACACCAATGCGTGGATTTTGATGCCCTTATGGGGTGGACTAAATCCCGTGCCATTGATATCTTCGCAGATGGGGTTCTAATGAAGCCCGAAGATGTGGGCCCAGAGCACATCACTGAGAGAACAAAGCCGCATTGATCTTCGCACGTGTGTCGTAAAGTCGCATATCAACTCTAGTTATCTATTATTCACAGCCCTCGCGTCTCATTGACAAAGTTTGCATGAAGATCATGATTGTGTAGGGCCTCTGCCCTGGAAATGCCCCACTCATTAGCCCAATCGCTCAGCTCGTCAAAGTTCCTGCATGTTCTCTCAGTCTGCCATCCAGAAATTCCTCGTGCGGTGTAGTTCATCATCTCCAAATTAGAGTCGGCGAGACAGATAAGTGATTGCCGGAGGTATTCGAAGCAGTGTCGCACATGGTGATGGCTGGTGCGGTGGTTCTTCTCCCTCGATTCATCACCCATCTCCTCAAGTTTGCCATCTACGGAAGCCCAGAAAGCTTGACGTAGCATGTTCTAGAACACCTTCAGTCTCGTGAGAGCTGGAAAATAAAGTGGAGGTACTTACAAGGCAGTGCAATTCGTGAAAGGCAGCAATGCCAGCTACGTTTGGTGCAAGGACTGGATGCTGAACGAAACCAAGCTTCTCCGGGAACAGAGAGGCCCATGCAGCGTCACTCTCCTCATTAGGTCTTTGGGGAAATGTTTTGTCGAACTGCATGTAGTAGTGAACATCGCCAGCTGGGACTGCACTCTTTTAGTAATGTATTTGGTTGACAAACGTGTTGGTACTCACGTATAGTAGTCGGAACTTCAGTCGCATTCCGAGAGCCCAGTGTATATCCAGTACTCAAGGCCCCAAGCACGGACAATGCGACAATAGAGCCCTTAGCAATCTTCCGCAGTCGCGACTGAGACCTGTTCACAGGTTCCATGGCATCAACACCATCTTCCGAAGAAGAGACAGGTAGGTATCCTTCGCGTTTTGCCATGTTGGAGACCTCGAGGTTGCACGATCGAAGGCGTGTAATGGTCGCAGAGCGAGCGAGTTCTCGTCCACGCGTAATCTGATCACGGCTTCGACTGCCGCATGTATTTGGAGCGCACAAAAGGTATTCGATATCCTTCCAACGAATGGCATAAAAGCAGCAAGTATTCGACCGGTGCACTGGGTCAACCCGTAAGCGTTCTGCAAGGAGACTTCCCAAACAGAATATGCGAGCGTCTGTCATTGATCAACCCTGCATGCGGATGCAGTCGGCAGGCCACGCGAGTGGCGCGAAGAAGGAGATAAAGCTCGGCTGTTGTGTCACCGTCCATTAACTGACTCAATCGGTTAGTCGCTTGCGCCGCCATTGCGGCACAGCAATCCCATAATGACAACAGATGCGGTATATCCGGAACTATTCAACTTTCGCATCGCGACGAAGGAACAGTTGCAGTAGCTCATTGACGTGTACGATGCAATGCAATGCGATGCTATGCGACGTGATCAGAGGAATAGATGGTCCGACGAGCCGTGATCATGTACCAGTATAGAAGTTCAACGCAGTCCATGCCCAGGGGACGGCGAGACGCTCTGATAACACGTTTGATCCAAATACTTCCGAGTTCCATCAAGTCACTATCACACTATCAACTATGCGTTTCAATTCCTTGGTTCTTGCCGTCTTGGCGTCCAGCGGCTTCTATGCCAGTGCCTTGCCCGTTGAGCCGAAACGAGGTAAGCCGAGATCTAAAGTTGGCGGTCAATATGTCTTACTGAAACGCGAAACAGATGCTGCTGCTGTTGCCAAATCAGAGGCAGCTCCAGGCTTCAAGCCCGTGATCGTATGGGAGCACACGAACAGCGACGATGACGACGGCATGGTGTATCAATGGCGTCGCAAGGAGTAAAGAATCGGGAATGAGACCATCAAAAGTCAAGAACCACCGTCTTCGGTACTGAATGGAGGGACCGTCTCGATCCCGATCGTTAAGTTGAGCAAATGGAATGAGCTCATAATGTAACGCTCAATACAGACACCATGCTGTGAATGAATTGGACTCAGCTGTATTGTTTGCATGCCCCACTTACCCTTTCCACACTACCTCAACGATTGATAACGTCGAGCCTGGTGGTTGATATACCTCTCGCAACTGATACCTGGTATCAATTTTCTCGAGTAAGCCTTTCCAATCATTCAGATCGCGCTCTTTGGCATTTCCAATTTCCAACATAGTTAGATCCATGGCCCTGTGAGTCCTTGGTGAGAAGTACGCTGGCGTGAAGAGCTGCATACACGTACCTTAGCTTACGATCAAGATCATTGGGAAGCGCGCCAGGCGGAGGCATCAGCATATCCATGATCAGCAGCCTGGCGCCTGTCTTCAGTGCCGGTATCAACGCCTTTAACGTCTTAGTGCAATATTTGTCTGGCCAATTGTGCAATGTGTGTCGGTAGTAATAGACCTCAGCACCTTTTACTGGCTGCTCATCGAAGAAGTCGTGAGCCATGAACTCCACATTCAGGCCTTCCAATAATCTCGCATTCGCAACCACTCCAGGCAGATCTTGCACAATGAAGTGAAGGTCAGGGTACTTCCGCGCTAGTGCAAACGCTGCGTCGCCGTGAGAGCCACCGAGGTCGACCACCGTACCAGATGGCGTTGCAGCCCAGGGATATCCGTCCGTCAAGTGACGTAATGATAAGCCGTCGCCCTTGGTAAAGAAGCTCATGGCGCCACCAAAACGACGTGCGCGCTGCGGGTTCTGCGCTAACACGGCATGAAGCGGCAAGTTGGTATCATTGGCGAGCGCGAATCCCTGGGAATTTGGTCAGCTTGGATCGGTAAGTCGCTGTATGAGCTCACTGTTTCAGTAGGCTCCGCTGCCTGAGGCCATTTTGTGAGCGCGTCGACCACTTTATGGGCTGCAGGCCACATATCGTCCACTGACGCGCCAATCCAGTCTGCTACGCAGGCATCGTCCGCGATCTGTCTTGACGCTGCAGAATGGGCTATGACGCCGTACCTAGGCTCTTTGAAGATGCGATATGCAATGCCGAGGCGAAGGATCCGGGCTATGGCTCCTTCGTCCATGCCAATGACAGTTGCCAGGCGGTTAAAAGTAATCTCCCCATCCACCGGTACCTTGGATGCAATATCGAACCGAGAGATGAGCTGAAGATATACCAGAACATTGTGCTGCAGCTGAGTTAGAAAACTGACATATGTCTCAGACACGGATGGTGCAGATACGGACGTGGTGGTTGAACAGCAAGTCTCGAGGATGCTGTAGGAGGTCGTTTAGCTCTTGGCTGGCGCGAAGAACAACGGTACGTGAATGCTCAATGTCAGGCTGCAGTCCCAGATCCGAGGGGCTCTCAGCATGGAACGAAGGATGTGGTAAACCGTTCTGGTTGAGGTAATCGTCGATACGCTGGGTATGTTGTGCTACTTGGGCTGCCAGCTCTGCTATGCGGCTCTGCGTTCCAGTCATGGTGCGTAATACACGATAAGGTCATCTCTCAACAAGGACGTTGACCGCATTTATAGCTCACACATGTGATGCGTGGAGCATAGTCATCCTAGCTTAGCTCATGTGGACATATTAGGTATGCTCTCAGAGCTGCTTGACCAGGCGCGATGACTGCGCACAGATACTTCAATCCATGGATGTGTGCCCCCACCTGATCGAAGATAACATCAGTATTCGCTGTCAGAAGATGTGCGATCAAAACTCCTGCTTATAACTAGATTTATCTGTCGTTGTAGCGCAGATGACCTCGCTGTGTGACTTGTGCGTAAGTTGGTAGATTGAAGGTTCTGGGTCACGGAAAGGGTGAACGCCTGGGCCACCATCCCGAGGTCTGGATACAGTGGGGCAACCAATCAGGAAGCGCTTTTGTCCGAACCGCTAGCCTCTTTGCGAGATGTACACAATCTTGGAACGCTCACCAAAATCATCATTGCAGTAGCGCGTAAGCTAGTCTATCATCCTTTGCAAGGTTTCTGGATAGACCGGAGACGGGAGGTATATCGAAGATGATAGGAGCAGACCGTAACGTCGGTTAATCACTTGGGTATGATGAAGATGGGTGGCCTAAGAGAGGCGCAATGCAGCCTCGGACGTACACATCATCCTCGCATCAATTGCTTGTCGCGCTTTTCCCTTTACTGTGCCGTGATGACCGCACTGTATGGCGTTATAAACGCAGGGATGTACCGCCCTCCATCCTTTGCGGCACGGCGGTCAATATGGAACACGAAACACTTTTACCAACTTACACCGAACAGTCAAAACAAGCCCATGTTGATCCGGACTACGATCGTGATGCTCTAGAAGACAGTGGCAGGATCTATAAGGATCGGAAGATAAGGACGAAATCGCCTCTTGTGTTGAGCTTCTGTCTCTGCTTGATCAGCCTACTCACTGGCTTCTTTGCGAGCTCGTTGTTAGAGAAGACAAATCGAGACTCTGCAAAACATATTTGCAGCGCACCTTCTATACGGCGCGAATGGCGAAGTTTGAGCGACTCGGAGAAAGACGTATACGTCGATGCTGTACGGTGTCTACGTACGAAGCCCTCGCGCATTGGGATGAACCATACGCTTTACGACGACTTTGCCTACGTGCATTTCCAGTCTAATAAAGAAAGTAAGCATACTTACACCGAAGAAGAAATACTCGGCTGCTTATGTTTCCTGATAGTACATTTCGCGGCGGCATTCCTTTCCTGGCACCGTTATCTCATCCATACCTATCATCAGCTCCTCGTGAACGAGTGCCATTACGCTGGAGAACTCCCGTGAGTGCGTGAGCCAGAGATGACACATCTTACTAACGTCATTCAGATACTGGGATTGGACGCTCGACTGGCAGAACCTCGCCGCTGCGCCAGTGTGGGATCTCGACCATGGTTTCTCAGGCAATGGTCGTGAAAGCTCAAAATCCAGTGTTCTCTTCCCGCGCTCACATTGCATTGAAGATGGTCCATTTGCAAATTTTGAAGTCGCCCTTGCAGATGCTACGTACGCGCCGCATTGCTTGACGCGCGACTTTGGCTCTTTCAAGGATGAGCCTGTCGCAAATCTATCGCAGCATCTTCGTCCGAGTGCTATCGAAGCTCTTTTGGTAGAAGACGACTACTACAAGTTCCTTGTACGATTTGAAGATGGAGCGCACATCGCTATACCTAAGTTCATCATGGGAGACTTTCGATTGTTTACTTCACCTAATGGTACGTCGGTTTAGCTTTGCTGGCTTGCGGTCGATCGCTAACACCTTGAAAGACCCAATATTCTTCCTTCACCATGCGCAAATTGACAGGATCTGGTGGAAGTGGCAGCAGTATGGCCCGCCACGGCGACAGAATATGTATACAGGCAGCTTCAAGCCTGGGTCGGAGGAGCAAGCAAGTCTCGATGACATCGTCTCGATCGGAGGTCTAGCACCGGATGTCAAAGTCTCGGACATCGTGGATGTACGATCGGGCATCTTTTGTTATACGTACTAGAACTGCCATACCTAGAACGATCAATACGATGATGGAGTGGAAAATGCCCTAGGATCCGCTCAAACCCCAACTGTTACAACGGCCCTGTAGTCACGACTGCTGGCTGCTACATACATCAACCCAATCACAGGATACTGTAGACATGGGATGATGAGAAAATGATGGAAAATTATTCGTTTGTTGATTCTAATGTTAGATGTCTTCTAGATAAACACGCTTGTACAAGGACAGAAAAAGGGGAGCTCGCGAGCACGTCCCATCCTTGACGTCACCCGCTTGGCTATGCGGAACTCGAGCCGCGTCGTGAGCTCTGACTATCCTCCGCAACCAAACCACCGTTCGTTCAAACCTGCTCTCGACTTTCTGTTACACCCTTTCTTTCTTTTAACCTTATCCACTCTGCCAAGTCCTGCTGGCTTCTCGTCATCGATTCGTATCGCTGGCCGTCAATGGCGGTGTCGTCATGACCCTGCAGGTGCAGATACCAGTAGAGGACACCAACAAAGAAGCCGCCGCCGACGATATTGCCAAGTAGTGCAGGAGCGATACCTTTCCAAACATACATGCCGATGGTAATGTCTGGTGAGCCATGGAAGATGGCATTGGGTATCAAGAACATGTTGGCGACGACGTGATCTGATACACAGTCAGCTAACTTGTAGATATGCACACGAATGTGTGGTACTCACCGAACCCCAGGGATACGAACGCAAACGTCGGCCACCATATCCCCACTACCTTGGAAACATAGTCGCGACCCGAACACCCGAGAAAGCAGGCCAGACAGACCAACCAGTTGGCGCCGATGCCTTTGAGAAAGATTTGGTACCACTCTGGCTCGACTTGCTTCTTGTAAGCAAAGTGGAGCGACTCTTCTCGATATAGTTTTCCGTCGAATAATCCACCGTCTATCACAACAGGTCAGCTTCAAACTTCCAAGTCGCTGCTGCTATCAGAGACTTACATCCGACGATCACACAAGACACGAACAAACTTCCTGCGAGATTCCCAAAAAAGGTTACCACCCAATGCCTCAACATCCGCCAGATGCTGAGTCGTCGATGTAACGCAGCAACGGTCGTGTACATGAAGCTGCCAGTACACAGGTCGCTGCCAGTCATCTGTACGATAACTAGACCGTACGGAAATACGAGCGCGGCAATTGTCTTGATCAGGCCTGGAGCATTCTCCTGGTACCATGGCGAGGTGTTGGTCGAGATGAGCGTTGCGCATGCGAAAGACAAGATCATGCCAGCGGAGCAGGCACTGAGGAAGCTCTTGTCGACACGCATATACGCCTTCTTGACGCCCATGCGCGAGACTATCTCGAAAGACTCCTGAGGAGTATAGGCATTGTTGGTTGGTTGGTGCATGTTGTGAGCCCGGTGTTGATATGGCATCGATGAAAGAGTTGTCGGGACTGCATTAATAGGTGTTGCTGTCCCAGAGGAGGGGTTCGATTGGACATGCATTGGCAAGAGGTTATGAGGCAATACAGGTCTTGGTGATGTTGATCTGTGGGCCATGTTGATGTCGTGGCTGAGGCGATTCGTAACGGAACTCACGACGCTGAGCAGCGGAGCCGAAGCAAAGTAATCAGAGTTTCAGCACCGATGAAGAGACGGAAGTATCCATCAAATTAAATACAGGAAGTCAAGTGTGACTCCTTACAACCACCCATCCCGAAAACCATCCGCGCGATCTCCACAACATCACCGAGGACCGAAACACCTACGGATACAAAATGGTTCAATTTTGGCGCGCAAACACCTTGCTTATCACAAAGATGACAAAAAGTGCCAAATAGGGAATGCGGTACCGCAGGCTTGCGGCTCAATCCAAGACCTTGGCGGCTCAACCAGCGTCAATGAGACCGAGAAGTTTGTCGCCAAGGTGTCTGGGCGCAACGACGCACGAGAAAGAGCCGCAACACTACCACTGCACCCGACGGTCGATATAATGGTGATGTGAGGGTGTGAGTAATCGTCTTCAACTTTGGGGCCCCGCACACACTCCGCATACACTCCGCATGTGAAAGAAAGGAGTGGCTGCGCAGGCACAACACAAGGTTGGGCATCATGCTCTTTTCGGGCGACCTGCCACACTATCGTCATAGAGCGCCTGTATAGTCATAATACACCGATCTTGGTGTACCGACTGCTAAGGTATGTAGTGTGAGTATACAACAATCTTACACGTGGCATGGAGCTCATTTCCTTCGACATCTCGTGCTTTCGCAGCTCTCATGCGGGTGCTGCATCTGGTTTGGCATAGCCGCCGGGAGCGACATGATCCTGTGCCCAAGATTAGAAAGAAGCTTCTGGGAGACGGTCCCGACCGTAGTGGCTTCGAAGCGTGAAGCCTTGGGATCGATTCGCACTTCATCTTGAAAGCGCGGAGTCTACTAATGCAACTGCCTGCCTTCTTGACCCATTTCCTTACCTTATGCGCTGCTGTAGCCGTCGTAGCTTGAGGATCACTGCGGGTTTTATTTTCCAATGCTCTTTGTGTACCAAATTAATCTATCTTGCAGTTGCAGAGGGTATCGGGGCAGGGAAGGCGCGTTCGAATGGGTTGGAGACG